TGACAAATCAGTCACATTTTTGTCCCCATCCCCTCTGCTCTCTGAATAAAATGTTCCAATTTTTTAAATGTACTACATTTAACTTTGTGCAGCTGCAAATACGGATAAACGATAAAGCCGTGCTCTGCACTAATTAATTTCAAAACGGAAAGATGTGTCGTCAGCGCTGGGGCTGGAGAATAGTGTCTTCGATCAACGATTCGAATGAACACGAAAGAAATTTTGACAATCAAACCTTCGTCGAAGCTTCTGAGTTCTGGCCCCCAATGTTCCTTAAAGGCAACCGCACCTCTTCATAGAGCTACACTGTTAAAGACTGCTTTTGGGTTTTACCGTTCTATCATGATGAATAAGTCCGAAATGTTACCGGCAAGAGCTGATTATTTCATCGCCGATTTTTGAATGAAACATCATGTTATTAAATGAAAAATATAATCCTTAATCTTGGCGCTCAGACTGTTTCCAACACAAAAATTTTTTATGGCGATATGTTGCAGCTATAGCAGCCAAAACTTAAAATGTCGTGTCTGAAATCGTCCCTTGTAACATTCCGTACCCAACTGTTGCCTAAACTAAGTTGCACTAAGGTCAATTGTTTCTGTGACAAGGATCGGAGATTGGATTGTGAAACCATTCTCTCAGCAATCACCGAAGCCAGATGTATTCTTGCGTGCACGCTGATCCCATGGCGCTTAAGACCTTCTGCCTATGTTTTTGTTTTACGTAACTAGTGAAAGCCATCAATCACTGATCTGTCTGATCAATATGCGCCTCTAGACTGAAATATCTCTCAGACAGAAAATGGCGAGATGTAAGAGAAAATGTAGGCATGAGCAACAATTTTCCGTTTACAGAACGGAATGATAGTTGAAGACAGACATGAAGTGACATAATTAAACAGATATTTAAACTATTGATGGTACTGACGCAACTGCCTTTCATTAGCGGGCCGTGATCCACACAAAATTCCAGGTTTGTTACACGTGGACAGCGTTAGTAATATTCAGACACTCTCAGGCAGCACTTAAGCTTTCAACTTCCAACTTTCAACTTCCTTGCACAATGATAATATCTGACAATCGATATCAATAACTTTATGAATTCAATTCAAATTGGCCAACGGGATTAATGCAACATCGTGCAGTACTTCAGCGAAATCCTAAGTTCAGAATTTCCGCCCTTAAATAAAAATGTCTCATAACTTGACCCTTTTGCGCAATATTTTTCAGATGTCCGTCATAAGTATTATAATCTGCCGTCAAACATGAGCGGTACCTGTCCTCAGAGAGCCATCTTTCGTGATAATCCTTTCGCAAACCGGAGACAACTAACATTCCGAGACGAGTAATAAAGACTGACCCTCGGCCGATCTAACATCATTAGAGAGATATTGACAAGGATCCTTTTTTTACAGTTTCTTTTCAACAAGTGTCATAATTTTTTTAAGGCTGACAAGGTCAGCGTGAGCGCAAAAAGTTCCTACGAAAAAAATATCACAAACATGTCTCGAGCACGGCCGATTTTGATTGAATAAAACAGTTGACTAGTAAGGGACTCCATGACAGACACGCCCATTCATACGCATTAAGTGCGAAAGCCGTTTTCTGTACACGGTGACATATTGGTCAGCTCATGCCAGGATACGAAATTGTTTTCGTGTTATGTATCAGCGCAAGCTTTACTGGGACACTTCTACTTGTTGATCAACGACTATTGAAATTCGCCGCAATGAAAGGAAAGAAAAATAACGGGGTAGGCGATATTTTTCGAATCCTTGGCCTTTAAGGATTATGCTTTGTTGATTGTTTGTTGTCGTTGAATAAACAGTTGGACTCCTTTTTTTTTTTTAAACTATCGACAACAATACGGTCTTCTTCTCGCCGGAATATTTCTTTCACACGGCCGAGAGGACCAACTTTGTTTAAACAGTTACCTGCAAAACTGGTGCTCGCCTTGTTTTTAAGACGTTTCTAATATCATTATGCCTTGAAAACAGCGCAAAGAAACATCTCCTAGCCCTCTAACGGTCATGCAATTAAGTACGACGGGAAACCATACAATTTGTTGGGATTATTCGGCCTTAATCTAAAGTTTCTTTTAAAAGTACCGATGGGGCAATTATATTTTTAAATGCAATTACCAAACAGCGTCGATGCTATTCTTGATAGCATGTAATCATGCACTGCAGGTGTCGTATAGTTAGAGATGCTATGAAAGAGAATAGAAGAATAAAGAAGAATATTAAAAATGGCTGTAAACTTCAATAAGACGAGCGGCACCTCCGTTAGCGTAGATTATGGCAAACTAGGAGTTTTTGTAAGTTTAATGATTTAGCGGCGACACTTTCGAGGATACAGATCCGTTGCGGATGTGGCAAGAATGACGGGCCTTTTATTTTCTTCTTTTCTTTCAGTCGTATTTTAATTTCGAAAATTATGTACAAAAAATAATTTTGAGAGAGACATTGTTCACTGGTTGGTGGAGTAGAGAAAACTTGTCATATGGTGTAAGGTCATACGCTACGCTAATAGCAGCAGTTTTTGCCAGTGCAGTTAATGGTCCTCTATGTTAAAATACCCAGACAGTAGTTAGGTTGCGCAGGAATAAATACAAACTAATCGCTGTCGGATCATGTCAAAAAAAAACGGTATCGAAATCTAGTCTCTCTTAGCGCTCCCTCCTTTTGTTCATGCCAAGTATAAGTTGTTTCTAAAACTGAAAGGTTTTCCAGGGGTAACCTAAAATTGTCACCCTTTATTTCGGTTTTTTTGTTTGTTTCATTCCGTTTTGTTTCGAGGCGTGCTTACAGGCATGTGGCAAATTGTCAAGATTTTTTTTTTGAATGACTAGACTCAGCTGTTCGTAATTTGAATAAGAATAGACCAGGTATTGTAAGCACCCTGAGACTGACCCTATGCTGAAATTGAAGTCTGAATTTTTTTAACTCTTCAGTCTGTTAAAACCTTTGAAACTGAAAAAAAATTAAAATTAGCCGAAAACTCTACCTGTTCTAACAATTAACTTTTTTGTCTATGTTCTGAGTGAAACGTCCCCCACTGAGTTCAAAACGCGATTGCGGGGCGCCTACAGAACAATTTCAATGCTGTCTTTGAAAGGAAAAAAAACTTCAGCTCTCTCTGTTCAGCGCGTGTGTAACCGATGTGTTCCAAATTTGACCGTAAACATGGATCCCGACACACTTGAAAGCTTCCATTGTCTGTACAATGAGAGACACAGGAAGACGGCAGTTAGACCCCTCTGATGTTCCATTCAATGAAAACGTTTATTATTTCGTCTCGAAAACGGTTTCACAGGATTATATCTTATAGTCAAATTTCCTTGAGCGGTGAAACCAACATTTCAGCTTTCTCGAAGGCATTTCATTATCAACACGCAACATTTTTTCCAAATTTGTACATTATGTAATGTCTGGGGCGTATTTAAATTATCCTAAGTGACTTCCGTTCAAATTTATTTGTCGTATATTACAACCAAAACATGAAATTTAACATTGGATTTTTCTTAATCATGCCTTTGATCAGATAATTCTATGAGAAATTTCGCCGAAGGTGTTCCTTAGCCTCGGGTTTGTTTTGAGACAAAGTTTATCAAACGTTCTCGCTGCTTACTTTTTTCATCACACTAGGTGATTAAATTATTGCTTTTTTGAGACATTTTCTCACCACCATGCAATTTCTGAATGAATTCATTGAGCTTTGGATTAAAGGAGCGAATAATTCTCTGAAATCAAGCCTTAAGAAATTAAAACTCAACCAAAAGAAAGCTTCGAGACACTCTTAATTACATATAACAGTTTTTTTAGTCAGGTTTATTTGGTACGTCAAGAAGCAGATGGTCTTGAGGACAGTTCAGTTCCGTTTTGGAGGCCAGAGTTGAAAAGCTACGTGTGAAGTCTTTAAAATGTTGTCGAATAAAATTTTTCACACCGAAGAATCAACCCCGTTGCTTTCCTGAGAAGCAAACAACAGCTGCCAAGTCTTCCTTTCTCTTTCAATATCTACATCATGGATCTAATTTTGTGATGTCTGAAAATTATTCTCCCACAACGCCGCCCATGTCTAAGGAAAGCCACCTTGAAAACCTCATTTGCATGCAATCCCGACATCACCTAACAACAGATCACAAAAACTGAGAAATTGTTTTAAGTGTCGATAGAAAGTGCGTGCAAACATCGGCGTTATATTCGTATTTTCATGCATACAATCGGGGGTTGCAGACATATCAATGTGCAAAACAATTCCACATTAGCATATTACGCGCTCTGAGCTGTTACAATTCTGTTGCCCGATGAGTGATCTTTCGAAATTTCAGTCTGTGCGCCGACTTTGGATCATATATCTGACATGAAAGCGGCGCACATTCTGAAGAAGAGAGCGCAAAACACGTGCATGCTTTCTTGTGCTCCATTAGCCAAAGAGAGCTCAATATCACGCCAAAAGATTAGCGAGGTTTATGGAGCGCGAATAACTCGGATAGTGCAGAAAATATTAGATTTGTTCATTGCCCCGAGGCGACGAGACATCACATTGGTCGCGCGCGTGCCTGCTTCAAGTCTTTCACCATAAATAGGTTTTACTCAGTCAACATCGAATGAATTATCACGCGTAATGTATACAAAGTGGTTTCGGCCCGATAACTATGAATATATAGCTTAGTTGTGTCAAAAGATAGTACTAAACATTAATCTTTATGATAAGCTACCTGTCTGAAAGATTTTCAGCGCTTCATTTAACCCATAAACAGGTTTTAAGAACAGCATATTGCATTCGTAGCAAAGAATTACAGAGTAATACCGAAACAAGGCTATTCTTAAGACAAATGAAACGGAAGGTCTATTCGAATGTCTGGTCAACCGCATGCGACGGATTAGGGTTGAATGACATCAGAGCAATTTCAGGGCGCAAAATGCACTCAACACCTACACCGAAGCTGCCGAAATACTTTCGTTTTTCAAGGAAACTTAATCACAACAAGAGCCGTGATTGAAAATATAATATATTCATTCTTAGTGTGTTTTTTCACTCGCGTAACAACATTAAACAACAATACGCTGTACAATTAGAGAATCTGTTTCTCTCCTATGGAGACATGTCTACTTCATCGCTGTCCAAATTTAGCTCGTTCACGGACTAGGTCCTTAAATTATATTTTCGGCCAGTCAATATTCTATATACAATATACATAATATACTCTATGAAGGTATCATACTCATGTTTCTATAACTCTGTGAAATGCTAGACGATCCGATCGAAAGGAAGCCGCCACATAAACAAATCGCCTTTTACATGGATCTTATCTTGGTCTCGCTCGTACACGCGTGTTACCGCGCAACCGACAGATGTACCTCGATCCAACACGGACAACATGTTACGAGTGGTTGACGGTATTCAGAAGTTGATGTAACTCCCCAACCTTTCTTAAAACTTACTCGCACTGTCTCGGGGTGATAACACCTCACTCCAGCGCTGTCCACTGCCCGGCATACTTGTGGGCTTAATTTATAATCGTACACCTTGAGCGAATATCCGGGTGGAATTTTATGCACCAGAATATTATGTCTAACTTTTCCGCCAGCCATGCTTTCGTTCGAGTAAGTCAGTGTTGGACCATTTGCAAATAGCGAACAGTCACTTCGATTATAAATCCAAACTCCATCAACTTCGCGTGTCAACTGTAGTCCATAACCGATCTGTTCTCGCACTCTTTTAGTTCGCTCAGGTACATCACTTCGCCGATCGAGTGCAGCTAAACAGAACCCACTGGGCTCGGGTAGACTTTCGAATACGTTGATAACATCAGCAGTCCCTTCAAACGACGGTCCAATTCTTTCACTTTGTTCCCAATAAGCGATCGAACACCACGGCCTAGACCAACTTTTATCCGTCGCATTGCAGTAATCTGCCCCTGCAATTGCATCCAAAAATTAAGTTAATTCGCGTTCAAACACGAGATCGCCTTGTAAAAGGGCCTAAAAAAGATGAACTCCATAAATAATTGACACTCCGATGGAGTGGGTTACTCACTCACAACTCGTGAAACAGTTTGATAGTAGAGGCTTCACATTCGATCGAAAGAAAGAGTAAATATTCGACACAACACCGCAAAGGTCACAGCAAGGTATGTAAAATTTTATACCTATATTCCGCAGAGCAGACTCCGTGTACGAGGTTTGGCTGTCCATGGGGCAAGTTGTCGATTGAGTATGGTTACTGAAAAACCCTGCAAAGTAAAAAGGAAAATCAGTGAGCGAAACCGACGGGTTGAACGTCTGGAACGGATACACGCACGAAACTCTATTAACACCGAACTTTCCAAAGCACATACCAGAAGACTCGTCGTTTTTAACCTCCATTGCTTTCGGTAGGGCTGTGTAAATCCCACTAGATGGTCCTATGAAATAAAAACGAACGAAATGATCGACAACAGCGAAACGACAAAGCGAGAAAGAAAGATCTGTCTCGTATGCAAATGAGATGCTAAAAATGTTATAAAATCTGGTACACAAACAGTGCCACAAGAGTCGCTACGAACAAAATTTCGAATTTGATGGATTAAAACCTACCACTGTTCACGACTGTACTGTAGTGGAAAGGGTTGATACACACTTTCTTGTCGAAGCCATTTCGTGTCGAGCAGCATGGACTACGCTTAAGTTCCGAGGAGCTTCGAACTTGCGGGAGTCGAAATACTCGGTACAAAACAACTTGCGGTTCGACAACTACGCGCTTGCCCAGTCTTTCGTGCGTTGGAAAGAAAATACAACTCGTCTGAAGGCCGCCTTTCGATTCCAGCGCCGTTTGCAGAGCTGTGAATTCGCTGTCGTTGAGTCGCTTTAAGATGGAATGAGTTATTGACTTCAGTTCGGCACTTTCCTCAGGCGAAAAATCCTTGCGGGCTGTGAGAACGAAGTAACTCTCGAGTAGGGACAGTTTGTTCACCAGTCTCAACAACTTGAACATATAAGCTGAACATTTGTTCTTGGCGATCACATCCAGCCGATCTGAAAGATTTGCGTGGCCTAAAATGCGAAAGGAAGATCTAAGTTCCTTGATCACGTCGCAAACTTACACGTCTAGACAGCATGTAAAGAGCTGGCAGATTCACATCAACTAATTCGTCTCACAACCATAGCGCACAACGGTAACACTTGCCGACGTGCAGCAAAGATTAAAACCATTCTTATTGGCTGAAATATTGTCACGTGCATGTCTAGACGCATTGGCGCGTCTATAGTTGTCTGATGTGGTGTTACGCAAATAACAATTTCAATAAACTTTACTGCTAGATGATTGGTGGACACTTTGATCGACGGAAATCACTCTTGACTTCCCCCAAAGATCGAATTCACAATGAGCTTATTTCACTTTGTTTGTTCGAAAGATGTCTGGTTCCTTTGTAGATTGGGGGTATTTTGTGTAAACCATGTGGTGTGCTGTTAAAGAAAAATCCTGTGGGCAGCTCCAGATGTTTTGCGACTCTTTTCTTATATTCGCTTTGGATCGATGACCGTTCTCGAACTTGAAGCGACCCATTTTTATAAAGGCATTGTCAACTTTTTTAAGTCTAGAAAACCAATTCACTTCAATACCAAGTTCTAGAATGAAAATCCACTGCGGGTTTTAATTAAGGTTTCGGTTATTGCCCGCTTAAGTCACGGAGTTATTCTAAGATCTAACAAGATTAATTTAAGTTCGTTTTCCTTTAGATTTCATTATTTTCGCGATCCATATGATCAGATTTTGTATAGTAAAACCCACAACGAATTATTTTTTAGTGCCTGTTACCACTTCAATGAAAATCGAAAGCCGCTGTTCGCCGCTTTAAAAGCCGCCATCGAGCCAAATATTAGTTTTAATAATTTGTGCCAATTAACTTGTGTTTAGGTCAGGGGATTAATTTTCAACAAAGCCAACATATGCCCATATCATGGCGTTTTGTCAGCAAGAGTGGAAATTGTGTCTGAGATGGTCTGCCATGAAATTGAACATAAGTTTCCTGAGGAGACAAAATGGAAATGAAAATAGCGAATCGAAACGCTATTGAAACTCATACCATCGAGTCAAAAACTGTGGTGAAAGGTGAATGTTTGGTTCATATCCCATGCGAAGGAGGGATACATTTCCCTCACTTATTTTTTGTTCCTGCCAAAATATAAAACAATCTGATTAAGGGTGTCGCGTGAATAATGGTAGACGCATGAATATGATTTAGCATCGTTTCTAATAGTGTTATCTACATAACTGTCTATTTGAATATTTTCACTGTAAATACTCCAACACATCTCAGACACGAAAGGGTTCAATTTGTCCCTGAGGATGACAGTATCCCGCTGTGCTAAGCCCTTGAGCAAGAAATATCTATTATTGATGTATTATGTAAAAGAATGAAAAGCTAGATGCTTGAAATATATTCGTTTGTCATTGACCCACTGACCCTCCCCACCCATGTGTAAGCGGTTGTTGACAAGTGCTCACGATTTGGGGCGGGCCTTTCTTGGATTACTTTAGATCTCAGGTAATCCAAGAATGTGTTGCCTTCTTAAACCCACTCGTCTTCAGAGCCACTCATTGTCATCTTAAAGAAACGAGGATCCTGCGAACAAGTCTCATAGTAGTCCGTCCTTTTGAGGTGTGCAGCCTAAACCGTTAGCTATTCGGTATAAATCTCCCCACGTCATCTGTCATCTTTAGGGGCTCTGGGTAAGCGCTGATTATCAGTGGATACAATGGCATAGTTGACACCCCCCCCCCCCCCCACTCCCCTGCACCTTCTAGCTCTGATTTAAAGCGCGCGTTTAACTCCTTGCTACTTTGCTGTACTCTTCATTCAGAAAATCGTATCGAATACAATTTATTGACAAAGCTATAAAGAAGAATAACGATAATATGATAAAAATTGCCAACCTTTGCAACTCGGTATTAGCGGGAAAAAAAAGAAAAAAAAAGTTCATGAAAATTAATTGAATTTGACTGTACTGAAATAACAAACGGATTTGATTCAATAACCCTACACAAAGCCCTCCGAGGTATTGGGTTGCAAAATGGCACGGGAAATTAAACCAAATTTTACTTTTATTTTAACTCCGAAGTCATTGCACGAATCTTTTCCCATCCTACACTCATTAGTAAGTAATTCCTGGTAAATGAAAAAAACCTTCAAACTGACCTGTCTACTCGCTGTATTGCAATTCGAACTCGAATTTCGTGTTTAATCAAACGTCACTATTTTTCCATGTGAAGTAACAGACCGAATTAATGATACTAATCTTAATAATAATTATAAATAATGATAAGTATGATGCTAATGGTGATACTACTCATAGTAATGATCACGAGGATGACAACAATCATCATAAATTTAATTATCAATTTAATGAGTAAATTTCATATCAAAGTTATCCTAACACTGATGTATTCGTTTCCAGTTAATCAGCGTGAGCAAATTCTTTTTGCACGAAAAGATTGATGGTTTTCTTTAATCAAAAAGTTAAGTTTTCCTTTGTTGAATTCAAACTTTCCTTCCGAGCAACAAACCTTATGCGAGAAGATTCAAGATTTTTCGCCTACCACGTACATAAGAGTAACTACAAGTTCGCAGCCGGAATCATGGATTTGGGACGGCTAACCCAGTCACTCTCATGGAGTTCTTATCAGCGGTGTTTTGAAGCTCACACCTGATAGGGAACTGAAAAGCGAGAGACTAGGAACCCAGTCTCACTCCCAGCTTACCAGCAAGCAATTTGATCTTGCTGGGTGCGCAATTTTCCCAGAAATTATGACTTGTCAATTTATTCAGAAAATTTTTAATTTCTCAAATATAAAGGAGCAGGAGCCCATCACTCAAGTAATGGGCTTCTGAAAGGGGATAATTTATACAGCAAAATTGTGCAATTAAAAAATATAGGCCGTGCTCGTTCAAGAGCTAATCATAATTTTACCTCCTTTACCTTTACCTGGTCCATTGATTGAGAAACAATCCCATGTTCTCGGAATGCACGCGCGCTTATTCGCCTGTTTATGTGATTTATTTATTATGTGATTCAGTATACAAGAAGCGTAGTGCAATACTGCAGAATTGCTTTGAATCTTTGTAAATTTTTGGACAGGACAGGCGGTGAACGTAGAGCAACAGAAAACATATACAGTGACTTGCAGAGTGAAGAACTTGGATCAGAAGCCACAACACTGCATGTGGTTATGGTTCATAACTTTCATCCTTGTTGTTGCTAACGGCGCCGTCGTAGCGGCAGATCGAGGGAAAACGAGAGAGGCTTGGGTCGGGTCGCATTGCATGATGCGACCCACACCTCGCTCGGTTTTTCCACTCTTTCGCCAATAAACGCGTTAACAACGTTTACCAATTCGCTCCCTTTTATCGTCAGGCTACTTTTATCTACGATGAATTGAAAATGTGCACATGAGCGCATGTTTTCAAATTCAAGAGAAGATGATACGGAGATGCCATATCGAGTGAGGCAGAGTCCCGCAGATTTTATCATTTGGAAAAATTTTTCCTGGAGTTGGAAAAAAAAAAACGCACTGTAGATTTTTAGAAGAATGTAAAATGTTCTGAGTCCATCATAACAATTTATAGTTCAGATCAACTCAATTATCTTGTACTCCTTTATATCAAGGGGTACAAACGCTCCTTTATATAAAGGAGCGTTTTGAAACTTCTGAATGATACAGTCCTCTTTTCTTCCTGATTGGTACACAGGTGGCCCAAGCTCCAGCTGTGAGATGATCATCCTGCGAAGTAAGAGTCATGGCGAAATTATATCAGTTTGTATGGGAATATTTACGACCACTTTTAGGAATAAAACAAACACAGTCAAATTCTCACTAAATATACCTCACCTTACTTCCACATTGCATCGCTTGTTATCTGACCACTTACGATGTTGAAAGGAACCCATTTAAGCAAGTTATCCATTTGTAGGTTTATTACGTACATAGGAGAAGCGCTTCTCTTATGATGACTCTTACTTCTCACAGCTGGAGCTTGGGCCGCCTGTGGTCTGGTGACAGCTCCGTTGCCGATGATAGTCAACTGATGACTAAGAGCACAACGTGAGATTAGGGACAATCATCAGTCAGATCACCGGTATTTCAAAGAGAGAAGCAATAGTCTGAAACACTGTATTATCAACAAAAACAGCAACATCAACAACAATTAAACACTTGTCGTACCACGCGCGGCTTAATCAATAAGTTCACGAAATCTCGGCTCAATAAGGTAAACCAAGAGAACGGACGTAGTTCTCGCAAATAACCTCCGGCTCGGCTAACGAAAACTCACCACGGTCACCAATACTACTCTATGACTGTGAATATATGAAAATCATATACGTGAGCAAAGACATATATGAAAATCATAATTCGTGAAAATAAGGCCTGCTGTACGGATAAAGACTAAAAAGTCAGTATGTTGGTTCTAACTGACTAAACCCGTAAAGTAATGGATAAATGTTAGTGAATATATGAAAGTCATATATGTGAACTGCGGATAAAGGCGTGAATATGGAGGCGATCTTCGCTGTAATGAACATTACTTGAGCAGTCGGTGAAAATAAAGTCATTTGTTCATTACTTCCCGGGTTTATTTGGAACCAGTCATTTACTCATTACTTCACGGGTTCATTTGGAACCAAAACGATGACCAGCTCCCAGTTGGCTTGTAGATAGCTCAGTTGGTAGAGCACTGTACCGGTATCCGGCAGAGGTCATGGGTTCAAATCCCACGCAGGTCTGATTTTTTTTCAGGCCTTATTTTCACTACTGCTCAAATAGTGTTCATTACTGCGAAGATCACTTTTATATTCACAATACTACTCCAAGTTCAATGGTCCGACGATAAGTTCAGCACATGATGTCGGGGATTTTATCATAGTTGAGTGACATTTTAATGAATGCGTCTCTCCGTAGCTTACTTAAGTTCAAATTTTTAATGTCAGAGTTCAGATGTATCAGTGAAACACTTACTGCAACCGGTAAGTTTAAGATGTATTTTTGATTTCATCGTCTCTGACCTGTCTCTATATTACCAAGGAAGATGGTATCCCAAGGGAGATCGGAATAATTGATAATACTTCTATTCGTTTCAGTTTATGTTATGGAAACCGGGATAAGCTCTGTTTGGCTGATTTAC